TGACTCGTTGACTTCTTTTCTTCGAGCCTGCTGCTCTTGGATATTTTTAGCATGATTTCATAAAGCTGTAATTAAGTCGGATGCTGGTAAACAATGCTCTGGTTGGAGGCCAACTCCAAACTTGGCTTAGTCATAAAAAGTCAGACGGTTTCAACTGAAGTAAGAAATAACTTCATGTGCTGGAACGAGTGCAGTGCAGTCCATGGGGGTTGTAGGTTTTTTCTTAACAGGAACACTTGTGTTTTATATTTGCGCCTTGCCACACATTCTTTTGTGTTCATGGGGGAGGAAGAAGATGAGATGCTGACTTTTGAAGTCTTGCGGTCTTGTCACGTAAAGCATTCCTCACCGATGGAGTTGGACCACTCAGCCAAGCAGTCACTTCTCACTGCTTCCCTGTTATAGTTTTCCTCTGACTGAGTTGAATTAAAAATTTGCCTGTGCGTGCGTGCGTTGGTGGTTTTTCTTCTTCTTATCTGTAGCACATTTAGGTACAATTGCATGCTTGCTGCATTTGTGTCCTCCGTGTTTGCATTTGAGTGCTGATACTTGTGTCAGGTGTGCAGCTTACACACCTGTATTCATCTGTATGTCCATTTGCATAATATTTACAGGAGGCAAGCTGACTGGTTCGTGAACTCTTGCATGTATTACGAGTAACCTTTGACCTATGTTGGTAAAAACACAAATTCGAGGTCAGAGTGGCACAAGGCTCACCTTTAGCTTGGCTCTTTGCATTGACAGGAGATATTTTTATCTGGTATGAACAATTGAGAAAGATGGGTTTGAGTTCTCCTCTGCGGCCTTGGGTTTGGCCTTCCTGTGGGTGCAGAGTCAACCTCAGTCTGATGCTCTGATTGGAGCCAGATCCTTTGTCCCAGATTCCGAATCCTCGCATCCTTGAACCTCACGAAACCTCAAAGGCCCACATTACACAAATCCAACTGAAATCTAATGTTGTGAAATATCAGGAGGGCGATGCGGCGGGATAAAAAACGCGCTGTTGGAAAAGAAAGTTGACGTGCAGGTGAAATGAGGTCGAAGGTGAAGTCTCAAAGGGAGGCAAAGACAGCCTTTTAATAGTAATAGTTATTGTAGTTGTTGTGAAGTGGAAGGCTGCTGTTAATTCCTCACTCTTCTGGACCCACTTTTGGTGTTTTTCATTTATATGAGGCAGGGGAGGACATCTGCTTGCATAGTCAACCCTTACAGGAATTCTCTGGGGACCTTTTAATCATCCGTTCGAGATCTACAATGTGAAGATGCTGTGATATGCTATTTTTGTCTACTCTCTCACCAGATGCTTTCCTGAACTCTTAATACTCTCACATCACACCCCTGGGGTCCATGAAAAGTCACATGCGATACTGTGATAGAAAGTCAATGTTCTGCAGACATTTTATTTTACAGTCCCAACAGCACGCTTCTGCTCCACAAACCTCCGCAGGCTCCAGGGGGTTTGCGAGAGCCCCATTTGCTGTAAATGCCCAGAATTCCTAAAACCTTCAAATGCTGTATATTTTGAATTCCTCAGACATTTCAGACACTCGGATGTTCTCATACTCAACGGGACAACGAGGGCAACGAGACCTGTTAACCACTTTACCCTACACCCCTTCACACAGAGACATATTTACACACACACACACACACACTCATGTACACCCCCTGCGATGGATTCCAGATCTGGAATTTAATGCATTTCTGTTTCGCATCACCTCCCAGGAATGCGGCACACGTGCCACAAGCCTCATAACCCCAAGCTGATGAATGTGAGGATGTTTAAAAGGAAAAGATGATGATGGGATACAGACGTTTCTGGGGGTGGGGGTGCGTCCGGTGCAGTATTTGACGTTATTGACAGGCCATGTTGTTGAAAAAAAGCAATGTTAGTGCAGCTGTGGTATGTGCCGAGCGCATCTGGACCACAGATTTGGGAACGCATTTTGTGTGTGTTTGTTTGGTCTGCCCCGTCTCACTCAAATTAACGACTATTGCACGATACGGAGAGAGGATGGAGCGAATTAACTTAGCAGGGGATCATACGGGGAGAAGCTGGGGGAGTGTGTGGGTGCGGGGGTGATCTAAAAGTGGAGACTTTACAATCTAGTCTGTTTTGAACAGTGTTTACTTACACTGTGTCAGTCACATTCCTCTGAATCATATCAGACACTCTAGGTTGATTGCAACAGAGGAAAAAATTAGTGAGCTGCAGATTAACTACAGATCAAGGTTGCGGTCAAGTAGAAATGCTTATTATTGCCGCCAAGCAGACATTTCCAGGTCACGTCACTCAGTTAGGAACCTAGAAAGCACAGTAATACTAAGGAAAGATACCTCAGAGTGTCCTCCAATACTTCCTTTAAAACAGGATACACTGGACCATCCTTTAATAAAGGAAAGGTTGAAATGGTGCTGCAAAGGGATGCAGGTCATCATGAAAAATATTCTGATATTTTTTGGAAATAATGAAAATTATGTTAAGGTAGGAAAAGGTTTCCCATTATAAAGCTGCCACCCTGACTAAAACACTTTGTAACGTAAGCTATAAAAACACTGTACAGAAAGATGGCTGTTTATATATTAAAATGATCAAAATAAAGGGAAGATTACAGTTTAAAGTCATAGTTTCCATTGGTCATGTCCTCATTTGAGACGTTTTAGGATTAATTAAATATTGTGACAGACTGAAGTGAATTCTTTTCCCTTCACCCCCCAACCAGTAATGGCAGCTGTCCCTCCCTGAGCCTGGTTTCTTCCTTTTAAAAGGGAGTTTTTCCTCCCCACTGTCGCCAAGTCCTTGCACACAGTGGGTCCGGTGACTCCTGGCGTAATTTGGCTCTATATAAATACAATTTAACTGAATTAAACAAATACGAGTTGGACATCAAGGTGAGCAGAGCTTCAGCCTTGATAATGAAGTCATTGCTTTCATCGGGATTTCCATATTTTATGCTACGTCCAGATGAACAGAGTTAACTTTTTGGGATTTCCTTACCTGGATGGTTGGGCATGCACCAAGACATTATAATGTTGCTTGGGTAAAGTTTATCATTAGTTTTACTAACCATTCATTTTAAATATAATAATTAGCCATTATGTCAATACTGTGTCATCAAAAAAAAATACAATGTCATACTTTTAATTGGCCAACAGTCATTATGCATCCATGTCTACCTTATTTATATGATACAATTACCATGTCGGTCTAATCTGTTCTGTCATGTTTGGTTTAAATAAATCTGTAATTTCAAGATATTCAAACATTTAACTTCAGCACAGCATAATACAGCATACATGGAATTATGTGTAATTCTGATTGTGGATGTTTGTAGTGCAGCTTTAAAGATTTAAAGTAAGTTTTTAAATATAGGCTGCATATATTCTTAACATTCCATAATTCATGGTGGTTTAACTTTGCTGCTTTAAAATTTCAGCAATCTTGAAGAAAACGTTTAAAATGTAGGGCAGACGGCCAAAATTTGAACTCAGCTTTACCTGTGCCGCTGTGAATGAGTGAACTGCCGCATAAACACTGTGCGATGCTTGTTTATCGACTCTTTTCCGTGCTCCATTTCCAGCCATTCATTGCTCCCGTTGCTGCGTGAGATGAAGATAAATGTGCACGGTCACATTCTGCTTCCGCTGGAATAAGATGTTCTTTATTTACCCACTGCTATGTTGAATCATAGTGTCAGAGTCTTAAATAATGATGCCTTATTTTCCATTCACAAAGCATTCACTTAAGTCTGAACAAATCTGGGATTAAATCAACTCTAATCAGTTGTTTTGGAACTGGAACATTTGAAAGTCAACGTTTGGTTTTTTGTTTGGTTTTTTTAAACTTCCGGGAACAAAACCAGAGAAACTCGAAGAATGTCAGATGTACTTTCAGATTCTTTTTTGGTACACTGAAACAACAGCCAGATGTCTAAATCTCAATGATTCAATGGAACATAGAAATATAGTACTACTAAATTATTAAATAACAACACTGAAACGATTAATCCGAAATGATACATTTAAAATAATACAAATAAATTTCCATAATTCTTGCTGTGATAATTAATGGTATTGACATCTGGTTTTTCCAAATATTATCATCGTCTATATATTTGGCTCATATTTGACTAATGTTATCTCCCTGTATGCTCTGGACCTCATTAAGTAAGGTCCTCATTACTCAATAATACAATGCCAGGATGGCAATTTAATTAATGTCATTTCTGTTACATAACTGTAGAAAAATGCAGTATCTATGATCTTGTCTGTATAATAACAACCAGACAGGAGACATGAGACAGTGATGAGCTTTATTTTTGTAAAACTAAAGGTTTAGACAGTGAAGTCACAGAAATGAAGTCAACATTTGTCACTATCCTGTCCCCAGATGAGCTCCAGTTAACATTTTACTCTTACCGTTTTGCTGCTCTATAAACTCACAGCACATATTTTATGACACTGTAGCGCCTTCTAGTGATCACTCAAGGTTAAAACAGTTATTACTTTATAAACTGGCTAATAGGGTAGAGGAAATATGTGCAAATATAACCTGACCTCTTTCATACACAGATTCATTTCTGACTGGCCAGAGCGAGATGTGTCAAAGTAAACCAAAGTTTAATGGAAAAAATGTGAATCTGGAGTTTGAGAGATAAAAGTAGGAGTATCTTGAGAATTTCTCCATTTCAGAGACATTGAGACATTTTTTTTTTTTAAATTGAGCTATATATTTATTTATTTTACCTGTTTAAGTCATTTTGCTATAGTCTTTCATGTTTAGATGCTCCCACTTCTCACCTTAGTATAAATAGCACATTACCTTATTTAAATGCCTTTAGGTCAAATATCTGTCCGTCTAATGTTGCCTGTAGATTAGCAGATACACATCGTCTGCCTTGCTGAGAGCAAGAGCCCCATCCCTGAATTCGATAAGTGGAAGAAGCTTGTTAAATGGATCGTTGTAACTCTTCTACGGTGTTAGAAAAAAAAGTCAGTTATTCAAGATGTGATTTATTATATGGTTCAGTTTCGAGCTTTTTACATATATATATATAGATTTTTTTTTTTTTTTTTTTTTAAATCACAATTTTCAATTTTTACAGTATCAAAGTCACTGGTTGTTCTAAAATAACAAACTTTCTGCAGTTAGCATCTGTGCTGGGAGTTAGACTTCAGTAAAATAATCCTACTAACAATATTCAGAAACAAGAAATGTTCCAGAGTCACTTAGAAATCAAGCTTGAAGAAACAAAGTATTGAAAACAGCTCTTTGATGATAAAACATTTAGTGAATTGTACATGAGTTTACATTCTTTTGAAGGTAACATTGTTAAAACATAAAGCCGACTAAATATGTACAAACACTTACATTTTAATGTAAAAATGATCTTAAGGAGACAAGTTTGTAGAGTAGTTTTTAGCAGTTTTAGTAGTTTCTGCTTCTTTAAAAGGATTAAAACAAAGAACCTAAAATACACTTTGGCTAATTCTTGTTAGACGGGTCAGACTCTGATCAAAAGTAGTGCATATCATGGACACAGTCGATACAAACTGGAAGAAGAAAAACGGTGCAAAGCACTGGTGTGCACATTGTTTATACTCGTGGCTTAAAGGATAGTTTCATTGTGTTTCATCCTTGTGCATTTCCTGTTAATGAGGTTATTGGGTTTTTGTGGGTCATGCTAAATTTATACTCTCCACCTCCATTGCAGAGATTCAGGAAAGAAAACAAAATTATACCGGGGAACCATATTTGGCCAAAAACAAGTTTTACATGAAGAGTTTGTTTTTCCTAGAGTCAAACCAAAAGCAAACACAGAGATTAGCTGCCTGAAATTACCATATTACTTTACAGTTCTCCATCCATGAAACCTGTTAAAACAGAACAGTTTTCTTTTTTGTGTTTTTAATAAAGCTGAATGTCTTAAAACCAATTTCAAATCATGTATATTGTTAGCTCAGGTCTATTTTGACTATGGTCTGCCTTTACAGACAGCAGGCACTGACCACTGTTAACTTCTAAGTACTCCACTCTTTATTAACTTTGTATAAAGGTAACTGGTAAGGTTCCCATTGGTCCTACAGGAGATCATATAGCTCAGAGTCACCTTCCACAATCATCGTACAGATGCCGGATGTGTTACACATGAACACAAAATGGAAAACTAAATTATGGTTATGGTCAGTTCGAGAAACAATAATGTAGATATTGATAAAAAATGAAATCACAAGGATCCTGCCAATTCTTACAGTTTTAAATGGTTTGCAAATAACTGCAAGAAAGATTTACAGGCAAAAACCCAACAAACATTCTGTATACAGCAGGTAAAGTATGGAACACATCTCCAATTATCTCTAAAGGTCCCATTGACACAAAATCTCCACATGTCTGTAACAACCCATCCAAGCCACACGTCCAAAATGTATGTGACAGAATGAAAAACGACACAGTGGAAAAGTATTGAACATGTTTTTTTAATTAATTTATATAATTAATTTATATAATTTAATAATTTATACATTTAATATTGAGTCATTTAATACTTGGTACAAAAGACTGTGTTGTGACAACAGCTTCAAAATTGCTCAGGTGTGATTTTGGCCCAGTCTTCCACACAAACATCAAATCCTGATTCCACACTTCTCTTCTATAAACTCTGAAATTTGGTTCCTTCCATACATTTCCAGCTGGATTCAGGTCAGATGATTGGCTCAGCCATTCTTACAGCTGTATTTTCTTTTGCTGAAACCAATCGAGAGTTTCCTTGGCTGTGTGTTTGGGAACATCATCTTGCTGAAGCGTTTCATCGTCATCATCCTGGTAGATGGCAGCAAATTTATATCAGGAATGTCTCAGTACATTTTTCAATTCATCCTTCTTTCAATATTATGAAGTGTGCCGGTGCTGTATGCTGAAAAACAGCCCCACACATGATGATCCCACCTCCAGCCTTCACTGTTGGTATGGTGTTTTGGGGGTGATGTGCAGTGCCTTCTGCTGATTCCAGGTCTTTCTGTAGCTCTCCACAAGTGCTCCTTGGCTCTGGGACAACTCTTCTGACAATTCTTTCCACTCCTCTGTCTGAAATCTTGCGGGGAGCACCTGGTTGTGGTCGGCTTATGGTGAAAAATGTTCTTTTCACCTCCGGATTATGGCCCCAACAGTGCTCAATGGAATCTTCAGTATTTTAGAAATTCTGTAACTGGTGCCATCAGCATGCTTTCCAACAATAAGGTTGTGAAGGTCTTGAGAGAGCTCATTAGTCTTACCCATCATGAGAAGTCTCTTCTGTGACACACTGGTAATGAGTCACCTTTTTATAAGCTGTCGGTTTGGACTGAACCAGCTGACATTAATTTGCACTAAGCGTCAGGATTATTTTCTAATTACTGATAGATTTCAGCTGGTGTCATGACTTTCCATTCCTTTTTGCGCCTCGCTTTCTTCATGTGTTCAATACTTTTTCCCTGTGACATTTCTCATCATTACACATAATCTGTGGACGTCTGTGGTTTGATGTGGGTTTTGCTGACATTTTGGTAAAACTGCACTCGTGTAGATCGCATGTCCGACACGTGCCTGCACTTATCTGAGAGAAACGCTTACGGCAAGGGAGCTGCTAAGGAGGGTCAGTTACTTTAATCAGCCACTGTCCTTACTGCCATCATTTCTTTTACAATAAAATGTACACTGTAAAATCTTGCAGAGAAACTGTCAGTTTTGCACTTTGCAAGGACGGCAAAAACAATTTTGTGGTGTTACGTGGCTTTGTTGAAACTTTCACAAAAAGGCACATATGTGCAGTATCTGCAGTGTATGATATTCCACTCCTGTGTTGGACAGCTACAAATCTCCACAATACCGAATTCTTTGGATCCCTCTGTTCAACAACGTCTTCGTCTTTTGAGCCGTGGACCGTGTTTGTTGTCATAGTTACTGGTTTGGTTTGGCACTACTCCCATGGTCACTCATGGTTTGTGCTGATTATGTCTCATATTTCTACTGGGGAAAAGTTATTTTGCAATAATTATCATTTTAAATCTTGTTCCCTAAATTATGAGGTGACTTTTTCTTGTTGGTGGTTTTAGAGATAATCAATGGTGGCCAACACTAACATAGAGCCATGTTTATCAGTTCAATCTGTGCTTCCTACAGGGCAACGTAAGATTTATTGATTAGTTAATGCCACCTTATTATAAAATGCCTTTTTATCCCGGCAAAGATATGCTTCATCAGAGACGTTCCAGTACATCCCAGCAGGCCTGTCTCATCTTTCCCTTGTTAGTTAAACATGTTTAAGGTTATGATAATGGTTTACAACAGCTTTACTGAGCTTAAATTGCTTGGTTCTTCGTCTCCTGCCATTGTTTCTCCCTCAGACTGAGCTCTGCTTCAGAAAAAGCTGCAGGGCCCCAGTTTGTGATATTCTGCTGCCCCTTGGCACCTGAGCAAGAAACAGAAACAGAAAAAAAAAAAAACATTGCTGCATGGCAAATACACACACACAGCAAAACTGTTTATAGCGTAAACCACACAGCATATCATCACAAATTCACCATACCAACAGTAAAGCGCAGCAATGGAGCAGTGATGATTTGAGCTTAATTT